ATTATTATATTATTGACTTATTGRAAAAGACYTGAKTGCCCTTCTTTAAGTAAGAGGCACTCGAACTAACATAACAGTACACATCAGCATTCTCAACAAGTACAAAGACTGAAATACCCCTTCACTAACACCACTAACAGTAAGTCAGTCCAAGGAACCCTCTAAGTGACTTTTGGTTCTGTGGTCTTGGCCAGTTGACCATGCTTGAAACCTTGTCCGGGTCTGTACAAACTTTCCCACCTGTTATTATATGCCCAAGGTAATGAATATGGGTCTGTCCAAAGGAACATTTAGTGGGCTTGGCAAACAAGGAGTGCTACCTAAGTAGGTCCAGAGTGCGACGCAAGTGTGTCAGGTGTGAGGCCCAAGTGGGGCTGTAGATAAGTATATCATCGAAGAAAACCAATATATAGTGTCGCAAATACGGTCTGAAAATGTCATTCATGAGCCACTAAAAGGTAGATGGTGCATTGGTTAAACCAAATGGCATAACCACAAATTCGTAGTGCCCATCTGAGGTCCAAAAAGCCGTCTTATTTATATCTTCTGGGTGGACTCGGATCTGGGGTACCCGGACCTGAGATCCAGTTTGGAGAATAACAGGGCCTGCTGGCCCAACTCGTCAAACAACTCTTCTATCAATGGAATGGGATATCGGTCCTTCACAGTGATGTTGTTGAGGGCTCGGTAGTCAACACAAAATCTCCATGTCCCGTCCTTTTTCTTTACTAGTAAGACAGGTGAAGAGAACGGGCTGTTACTGGGCCGAATGAACCCTTTATCCAGGAGTTCTTGTATCATCTTATCCACTTCTGCCCGCTGATAATGTGGGTACCAGTATGGGCGGACATTTGTGGGAGGAGCTCCCGGTTGGAGTACAATCCGGTGGTCCAGCTGTCTCGAGGGGGGGAGAGCAGATGGCTCTTGGAATACATCCTCGTATTCGCTCAGGAGTTGTTGGAGTTGGTCCTGCTGCTCTGGGTTCTGGGTTATAGTATCATCAACAGTCAATGTCAGCCCAAGAGGCATGGGGCCCATACTCGTTAGAAAGGGGGTATCCGAGTATTGACAACTCTTGAGAATGAGGTGGGGAGGTTTGGCTGTGGCCAAGACAGGTCTGGTTCCCCTTAATATGTAGGTGAGTCCCTCATGTTGAAACTGCATTGTAAGGTCAGCCCAATTGCATATTACGAGGCCCAATTGTTGAAGCCATTCGATGTCCAGAACTATATCAGCCCCTGAAAATTCAAGGGGGTGGAGGTCTATAGTGAAGAGGTACCCCTGAATTTTAAGCCTAACTGATTTACATTTTCCCTCGCATCTGATTCCTTGCCCACTGGCCACGTTTACAGCAAAGGGAGCTATGGGTTCCACATCCAACCCGAGTCTCCGGGTCAACCCGGGGGTGATAAAATTTAGAGAACTTCCACTTTCGGTTAGGATAGCCACTTTTTGGGCCTGAACCCACCCTTCCACCCTCATGGTACGTGGGCTCTGACAGCCCGATAGAGCTTGCAAAGAAATCACATAATATTCAATTTCCATAGTTGGGACTGCTTCACAACTTCCGGTTCCCATTCACAGTTGGCATCCTCCTCTTCAACCTGCAATAGGTAGAGGTGTGGGGTCTTGCACCGGTGCCCTTGGGTAAATTTTTTGTCACAATTGTAACACAACCCATTTTCTCGGCGGGCCTGCATCTCGGTCCATGAGAGCTTCTTGTAAGGTACTACCATGGTCCCAGGGTTCTTGGGTGTTGGGGCTTCTGGTTTAGTGCCCGGGGTGGGAAGTAAGGGTCCCGGAGCTGAATCTGCTTGACTGGTTGGGGTTCGTAACAGGGGTCCAACCGCTAGACCAGTTGGTCTAGTGGTTTTTCTTAATCGGTTTAGCCTGTCTTCTTGGAGTTTATCTAGCCTGATAGCAGAGATAAGAGTTGAAGGCTGCAATGCTTTTACTTCAATCCGTATGTCTTCCTGTAAACCCCCGATGAAACAGCCAACCAGAGCCGTTTCCGGCCAACCATGCACACAGGTGGCTAATCTCTCGAACTCAGTCTGATACTCCTGCACACTACTAGTCCGTTTGACGCGGGACAAGGATTCATCAAATTTTTCATACCCAGATGGTCCGAACCTCACTCGTAAGGCTTCGGTGAAGTCCATCCAAGTAGTCTAGGGGTGTGTTTTTTGGTACCATTGGTACCACATAATGGCACTCTCCATTGAGGTTGATAGAGCCAATAGGCACTCGTTGGTGCACCGGGGTCTCATGATATTCAAAATACTGTTCAGTCCGATAAATCCAAGGTACCGGATCATCACCTGAGTAAACTGGGAATATGATCTTCGTCATCTTGCCTGGGGTGATCCCGCCACGTCTACCCATGCTGCTATTGGATCCTTCCGCTTCTGGTTCCCTCGCCATGGGTGTGGATAGTCACTCGAACTGCCCCACCAGTGCCAACAAGGTCTCCTTGATGTCCTTCAGTTCTGATGTGGTTCGGCGAACTTCTACTTCAATCCGATCAACATGATCATCTACTGTAGTGGATCTCGTATTAGTCATTAGTGCTAGGCTCTGATACTAGTTGATAAGATGACGTTGATATTCTGAAAACATGAGCTGGTTCGAGGGAGCTCACCCTCCTGAATACAGAGTAGGGTGGAGGAGAGGAAGAAGAGAAAGGAAGAAGAGAGGAGAGATGGAGGAGATCAGTAGGGTTTCATTTTTCATGCCCAGAATCAGTGAGGTAATACAATACTTATACTCTCTCTTCAGCCTCTCCTGCACATGACTTGACTGAGACGGCTAACTAACTAGAGGGACGTGGCCTCCTCATGTAAACAAACCTCAGTGGCTGTTGCACATGGGAGATCGAGTGCTTCTCTCATGCTTGGCCTGGCTGCTGCATGTCGTGGGCCTGGATCTCCTGTGATGAGCCCAAATGGGTAGTCGAGGGCCTATCACAAACCTCATAAAATTTTCCTTTTGAAGGATCAATTTCCATCCCTGTATGCTTTCTCTAACTTGAAAAATGAGCTTATTTCTTCCTTTGTTGTCCCTTCATCTTCAAACACTGGGTTTGGCTAGAATTTGGGTTTGAGAAGGGCTGTTAGAGATATAGATCTGAACAACACCTTGTCCCTCCTGGCTATTCTTGAAAATGTTTTCTTGGACCCCACAAAGGAAGACACCAGAATTTGGACCCCCACCCCCTCGAGCTATTTCTCTTGTGTCTCTTTCTTTAAGTCTTAACTCAGCCATCCAGCCCTGTAGGTTTATCCTTCCCTGTTAAAGAGATTTGCTGTAAGCTAATTCCTCCTAGGGTTGGGAGGTTTTGTTGGGAAACTTTCTTGGAAAGAATCAATACTAGTGATCTTCTTCAAAGAAAGAGACCAAAGACTTGTTTATCCCCTCATAGGTGTATTCTATGTAAAGCCGATGGGTAAATTGGTTATCACTTGTTGGTTTCTTGCCATCTTGCCAAAACTATATGGGAATGGGATTTTTCTCTTATTGGGTGTAGCTGGAATCCCCCTTTGAATGTGCAAAGTCTATTTTCTTCTTCTTACTTCAGGTGGCACTTGAAGAGGGGTAGGACCATGTGGAGGTGCCTAAGAGCTGCTGTATGCTGGACATTGTGGGAAGAAAGGATTTCAAGAATTTTCTCTGAGAAAGAGAGAAACTTTGAAAGTTTGATAGACTTGATTCACATCAGGGTGGTACATTGGTTGAAGTCCTCGGATTTATTCACAGACTTTACAGTGGATGATTTTCTGAGGAAATGGAAAGAGATTGCTAGTTCTGCCCTGGTGAAAACTGGTCTATGTCTATCTTGGACCCCTCCCCCCACTAGTTTTATAAAGTTGAACTTCAATGGCAGCAGTAGAGGGAACCCTGGGCATTCAGGCATTGGGGGTGTGTTTAGGGACGATAATGGAATTGTTTCAGCCATGTTTTCAGGCCCAATTGGGGCAGGTGACTCTCAGGGCTGAGATTTTTGTGGCTTTAGAAGGTGTTTAAAGGGCCAAGGAAATGAATATTAGGAGGCTTGTAATTGAAGGGGACTTGGTGGTGGTAGTAGGGTGGTTGAGAGAAGACAAGGCTGGGTTATGGAACTACACCAATGAAAGGAAAAAATTCAGGTGGTTGTCTAAGGACATGGAAATAAAGTACAACTGGGTGAAGAGATCTGCTAACTCGTTTGCAGATGGGTTAGCCAAGCAAGGAGTGACTAGAAAATCTTTATTCTGGGCTCAGTTGTAATTTTGGTTTTTTCACTTTGGGGGCTCTTGCCTCTGTTGAGGGAGTTAAGAAAGTTTATCTCCCTTCCTTTGTAATTAATTATTCTGTTTGATTAATGACATTTTTGTTATTGATCAAAAAAAAAAAAAAAACTGTGCAATTGACAAAAGAGAAACTCATTGCTCTGATATGAGATAGATGGGAGCAATAAATGTTCTCCCATTCAGCCTCTCATGGTGTATATAGCCTCTCATTGTATTATGTATGTATATGCATATACTAAGAGATACAATGAAAAATATGCCCCCATTAGTAAATGTAAAAGACATTAATCTAAACCATTCTTCATCTAGGTTTTGCAACATGAATGAAGGAAAATTTTCAACCTGTCACTCTATTTTCCTTAAAAGAGGGTACATGGTTTGCTTCCAAAAATTGGATGCAAACTTTGCACTCATTGCACTCAAAATAGTTACAAATTTTTTGATTGATGTAACTAAAAAGATATTTTTGTTTTGGTTCTCTTTTTACCACTCACGCTAAATAAATAACATTAAACTTGTAATGAGGTTTGCACCCATCACAACCAATAGAACAAATGCTATCTGTGCAAAACCAAACCAACTTTGCATTGTACTCTTTTGACACTATGTTCATTCACATTAATACATATTAGTTTTTGCACTCAGTACAAATGCAGCCTAATGTTTTGACATGTCCATGCAATTCATTCAGTAAATTCAATAACATTGCAGGTTGCAATGTGCAATTTTCCCACAATCAAAGATGCGGCTGATGTAGCTATTGCCACTATGCTTTCTGGGATACAGGTAGGGTTTCATCTGCAAATCTCTCTTTCTTGTAAGTTGAATATGGTCTATCATACTCTAACATTTACCATATTTTCTCTATGGGGCCTTCAATGTAGTTGTATTTTCTTAAGAAACCATATTCTCCCTGTCAACATAACCCATTATCTGTTAAGAAACAGTAAGATTTAGTTCAAATATATGGGAAAGACAATGTGGTTGGAATATGGTCAGACAAAAATCTTGAGAGACAATGGTCATGCATATACAATTTGCAAATGACATTATATTAGTTTGTAAAGATGCAATGGAAATTGGAGCTTGGAACATGCAACTTCTAATAAACCGCTTTAGGAAATCTAAAATTTGAAGGTTTTTTCGCCTCAAAAAATAGTTGAAGATTAATATTAGAAAGGAGTTGTATTATATATCTGAATATTGGGGTGGATTTAGGAAGGTTTTTATAGTCTGAATAAGAAGAAAGGAAAAGAAGATAGCAGAGAAAGACAGAAATTGGAGCAATAATAATGTGAGTGGCAGCTCCAACTCTATCTTATATAATAGGGTGTCATAAAAGGAGGTGAAGTTACAATAATACCCTTGGTTACCTAAAAGAAGAAAAGTACATGTGTAAATACTTCTAATGGAAGAAATAGTGGAAGCCTGATTTTTTTCAGAATGAGCTGGCTGCAACATTAGTTGTGTTGAACTTCTTCCCTAGCTTTCCCTTGAATTTCTTGGGTTTATCAATAAGAGCCCAACAACTTCTCATTTGTATACCATGATCTTCCACAATGAGTAAAGCACAGTTTTTACTTTTATCATCCTGATCACCCTTTTTACTAGAGTCTGCTTTCTTGTGGTTTCCTCAACACAAGGTCCAATGACTCTCCATGAAGAGGATTCATAATGGTCCTACTCTCCTCATACTGCATCAAAGCATACAACTCCTGTAGGTTATAAAGTTCCTTGCTACCAAGAATCTGAACTATGATTCAAATCTGCTAAGAAGGAAAACACACATTTCTTTGTTTCCAATTTCTTATAAGCTTGAGCATCTTTCTTACCCTCCCAATCAATTGCTTGATATTGATCAAGCTCTTTACACAAAGTTGTAAGAGCAGACTAATATGTGAAAAGGACTCTTTCCCCTTGTTTGCAAGAAGATGATTCCACCTACACTTCAAACACCAGAGCATAGTGCCTCTGTTTAGCATAGTTTCCTTAGCCTACTCCCATATCTCCCTAGTAGTTTGAAGCCATATAAAATTCTTTCTTATTGTCAAATGCATATATAGTTTTCTTGCTCCCATTTTTCATATTCAGCACCCTTTTCACTTTCTCAATTGGTTCTTTTATTCATCCTGTTTGATATCCCAGTTTCTAATGTGGATAGACAAGCAAGTTACATACTTCAAGCGAAATAGCAATAAGCACAACAATACAAAGCTGAAAACAACAAAAATAAACTGGATTTCTACAAATTTCAGAACTGAACCAGGAGTAGAACTCTTGTAATAATGGCATCAAGCTAGCCCCTCATGTGGACACAGTGATGGAGGGATTACAAGGTACCAAATGGGTTGACTCCTCAAAACCCAATCTCCTAATACTTGAAAATTCTAGTTGGGGCTGAACTACAACTCAAATAAAAGAGAAAGAACCAGAAAACCTCCCATAGAACCAACCCCCTTTTCTTTTATAAGACTTAATGGCTTTCTCAGAAGTCACCTAAAATATTTATACAGAAGCCCCTAGAATACCCCTCCTTCACAAACAACTCCTTGTGAGCAAAAATTAATTTCAAACAATCCCCAAAAGATAACTTTTATTACAAAAACACCCAAGAGAACCAAAACCCAAGAGATGTGCGCACATCTACCCCTAACGAGAATCTAAATTATAAAATGATGAAAATACTTAAATACCCCTAGGCCAAATTGATAACAAAGCTACCCAAGAACAACTATTTAGGGTCTTACTTCAAAACAAATTCAAAACATTTGGCATCAATTTTTTTTCTTTTTTTCTTTGGGTTTATCATTCTTGTCGGGTCAAAAAGAGCTCAACGTGTGAGCAGCATTTTTAATAGCCTTGAACTAGTCTCCTTCTAGTTCAACCCATTTTTAGTTGCTCAAATAGAACAATTATTTGAGCAGCATTTTTAGTTTCCCTTTCCACTTGACCAAGAACCTAAAATAGGTCTCATTTCGAGTGTTGATGATTCAAATATCTTCTACTTACTCAAACTCATTAGAACTATTGGTCCTTTATACTTGTCCTTGATCAACCATTGCTGCTGGTTCTAGATCTTCATGATAATCGAAGAGGTCTGCTACATTGAAAATGGGTGAAATGGGCAAACCAGCAAGTGGTTCAATTTCATATACATTATCCCCAAATTGTCTCGGCACTTGACATTGACCAATCTTTTCCTACTTCAGCCTGTGGTAAGTCCCAATTGAAAACTACTTAGGCCACAAATAAATCTTGACTAGATCACCATCATGAAACTCTTTCATCCGACAGTGCTTATCCTTTGCTTCTTTATACTTTTGATTGCTTCCTTTTAGATTTTGTTGTACATTTTCTTGAATCTATCAAAATGGATTCAACTAAAACTTTAGCATCACTTGACATTAACCAATCTTTTCCTACTTCAGCCTGTGGTAAGTCCCAATTGAAAACCACTTAGGCCACAAATAAATCTTGACTAGATCACCATCATGAAACTCTTTCATCCAACAGTGCTTATCCTTTGCTTCTTTTATACTTTTGATTGCTTCCTTTTAGATTTTGTCGTACATTTTCTTGAATCTATCAAAATGGATTCAACTAAAACTTTAGCATCATCACTCATCATGGTAACCCTATTATAGGAACTAGGTCCACAACACCTTTAGTCAATCGACCAAACACAACCATAAAAGGAGTCTTCCTTGTAGATCTGTTAACTAAATCATTGAAGGAAAACTTAGCTTGTGGTAGGATAACATCCCATTGCTTCAAGTAATCTCCAACAAAACTACTCAACAGGTAGTGCTGTATTGTAGGGCAATAGACATGGACTAAATACAACACAAACTCTCATTGCACAAGGTAATCACCGAAACATCAAGACCTGTACAATGGCATAAAACTCAATATCCTAAGTGGAATACTTCCTTCTAGCATCATTGAGTTTCTCACCAAAGTAAGCAACTGGACAGTCTTCTTGGCTAAGGACAGCTCCAATCCCAACATGTGGTGCTTCACATTTAACTTCAAAAAGCTAGTTAAAATTTGGTAAAGCTAGCATCATTGAGTTTTGTAGAGAACATTGATGTGGGCCCCACAGCTGTGGTCCCACTCTGTCCGTAGGGTAGAATGTATCTAGTCACAGCTGTGGTTATTTTGCTGTTCTGTTATTTCTAGTTTCAGTTTTATATTGGTTGTTATTTGTTARCAGTTATGATGTAAACACCAAGGGCAGATATGTCCTTTCATGTAACTAGCATAACCTATATATATTAACTTAAAGTGGCGGCAGCAGAACATTGACATTCTGTTCTTCTCCTCAAAAACTGTGTTCTATTGCTCTTCCATCACTCTTTCTTCTACATCTTCTTCACTCTCTTCTCATTGAACCTGAAATCTCTTAGTGATCAAGACTGAATAGCAGTCTTGAAAACCTACAAGCTTTTCAGCTGCGGGAGTCCATGTAAACTCCCCCCCCCCCTTTCAATTTAGTAATGGGTGCCACAATAGTGCTGAAATTCTTTATAAATCAACGATAATATGTGTCTAGTTCATGAAAACTATAAATTTTAGTAAGGTCTTTAGTGTTGGCCGCTCTTGAATAACTTGAACCTTTTCTTGCTCCACTTTAATCCCCTTGGCTGAAGCAAAATACTCAAAAAACACTAACCGGTCTCACAAAATTACACCTTTTCAAATTTATATATTTTTTCTCAAGACTTTTAAGACTGCTTTCAAGTGCTCCAAGTGGTTGTCATGATCTTTGTTTTAGACAAGTATGCCATCAAAATAAACTACCACAAACTTCCCCATGAATGATCTTAAGACTAGACTCATGAATGTCATAAAGGTACTAGGGGCATTAGACAACCCATATGGCATAAATAGCCATTCATAAAGACCTTACTTAGTCTTGAATCCAGTCTTCAACTCATACCACTCTTGGATACGAATTTGGTAGTGCCCACTCTAAATCTATTTTTGAAAAGACTTGTGAACCAACCAATGTGTCTAACATATAATCACGATAGAGTATGGAAAACTTGTACTTAACGGTAATCTTGTTGATAGTATTACTGTCAACACACATACGCTAACCACCATCTTTCTTTGGTGTGAGCAAAGCTGGTACAGCACATGGGCTCAAGCTTTCATGAATTAGCCACTTCTTCAACAGCTCTATTACCTATTTGTGGAGCTCCTCATGCTCCTTAGGACTCATTCTATAGTGGGGTAAGTTAGGCAATGCTGCTCCAGGCTTATAAATCTATGTTATGTTGCACATCCCTTAATGGAGGAAGGTGATTGGGTAATTCCTCAGGCATGACATCAGCATACTCATGAAGTAGCTTCTTCACCTTGTCCAGAACAGGTGATTCTTTGCTAACTTCTTTTGTAACCAACACATAAACAACATCCAAATTCCCATCTACTTCAACCAATTTATTTGAGGTGAAGAGGGTTGTGGTTGGCTTAGTTTCTTTCTTTTGAAATGAATAAGTTGTATTGGTATAGAAGTTATCTTCTTATTACCTTTCACAAGAGTTATATGTATTTTTTCCATAATGAACAGTCCTACAATCATATTGCCATGGGCAACCCAAAAGAATATGGCATGCATTCATTGGAACATCATCCAACCAAGCAAACTCTTCAAATGTGTTACCAATAGAAAAATTAACTAAACATTTTCAAGAAACTCTTACCCCATTCCTTTGTTGAACTACAAAATGTGATATGGTTGAGGGTGTTAAATAGTCTTGAGCTGCAACTTAACCACCACT